ATCACCATAGAAGGACAAAACAAGATATTCCAATAACCAGATTTAACCAATGCCTACCCACAAACCCAATCCTACACAAAGAAAAGGAAAAAAAAACTCCAACCCAGGGAAGTTGGCTACATCCACAAAAACACAGACAATAGATGATCTCACAGCAGCAAATACCAAAAAAGGGAAAACACACACAATAGCATCACCAACAACAAAGCCAAAATAACAGGAGCTAGCAATCACTGGTTATTAATATTCCTTAATACAAATGTACTCAAGTCATGTATAAAAAGACACTGGCTAACAGATTAGATATGAAAACAGAATCCATCCTTCTGCTGCATACAAGAAACACACCTCAACCTCAAAGACAGACATCACCTCAGATTAAAGGGTTGGAAAAAAATTTTCCAATCAAATGGACCTAAGAAACAAGCTGATATAGCTATCATAATATCTAACAAAAAACCCTTTAAACTAAAATCAATCAAAAGAGACAAGGAGGTACATTTCATATTTGTCAGAGGAAAAATCTTTCAAGAGGAAATCTTAATACTGAACATTTATGCCCCAAATACAAGGGTATCCTTATATGTAAGAGAAATACTTCTAAAGATTAAATCATATATTAAACCACACACACTAGTAGTGGGAGACTCTCACCACAGGACAGGTCTTTCAGACAGAAAATTAACAGAGAAATAAGGGAACTAACAGATGTTATGACTCAAATGGACTTAGCAGACATCTATAGAACATTCTATCCAAACGTAAAGGAATATACCTTCTCAGCACCTCATAGAACATTCTCAAAAATTGACCCCATACAAGGTAACAAAGCAAACCACAAGAGATACAAAAAATATTAGAATAACACCATGTATTTTATCGGATCACCATGGCTTAAAATTAGAATTCAACAGAAACACTAATTCCAGAAAGCTCACAAACATGTGGAAATTAAACAATGCTCAACTGAATCATCAATGAAATAAAGGAGGAAATTAAAAGACCTAAAATCCAATGAAAATAACCACAAAACATACCCAAATTCATAGGACACAATGAAAGCACTGTTAAGAGTAAAGTACATAGCACTATAATATAATATAATATAATATAATATAATATAATATAAATGCCTATATAAAGAAGTTGAAAAAAAATCCCACACTAGTGAGTTAACAGAATATTTGAAAACTCTAGAACAAAAAGAATCAAACTCACTGCGAGGACTAGATGGCAGGAAATAACCAAATTGAGAGCTGAAATCAACAAAATAGAAACAAAGACAACAATATAAAGAATCAATGAGATTGACTTGGTTCCTCAAGAAAATCAACAAAATAGACAAACCTTTATCCAAACTAACCAAAGGCAGAGAGAGAATATCCAAATTAACAAAATCATAAATGAAAGAGGGACATAACAATAGACAAGGAGGAAATACAGAGAATCATCAGGTCATATTTCAAAAACCTGTACTCCACAAAATTGGAAAACTTAAAGAAAATGGACAATTTCCTGGATAAATATCACTTATCAAAATTAAATCATCACCAGATAAGCAAATTAAACAGATCTCTAACTGCTAAGGAAATAGAAACAATCATCAAAAGTCTCCCAGCCAAAAAAGCCTAGAACCAGATAGTTTTAGGTCAGAATTCTACAAGCTTTACTAAGAAGAACTAATACCAATACTCCTATTAAGTTGTTCCACATAATAGAAACAGAAGGAACATTGCCAAACTCTTTTTATGAGGCTACAATTACCCTGATATCCAAACCACATAAAGACATTACTAAGAAAGAGGATTACAAACCAATTTCACTTAAGAAAATTTATGCAAAAATACTCAATAAAATATTGGCAAACTGAATCCAAGAACACACCAGAAAAAAAAAAAATATCTACCATGATCAAGTTGGCTTCATCCGAGAGATGGTTCCACATTAAAAAAAAAAAAAAGCTGTCAATGTAATCCACCATATAAACTGAAAAGAAAAAAAAAACATGATCATCTCATTAGATGTTGAAAAAGCCTTTGACATACAACATCCCGGGGCTGGAGAGATGGCTCAGAGGTTAAGAGCACTGGCTGCTCTTCCAAAGGTCCTGAGTGCAATTCCCAGCAACCACATGGTGGCTTGCAACCATCTATGAGATCTGATACCTTCTGCTGATGGGCAGGCATACATACAGACAGAACATTGTATACATAATAAATAAAAAAATTACAACATCCCTTCATGATAAAGGTCTTGGAAAGAACAGGGGCAAGGAACATATCTAAACATATTAAAGGCAATATACAGCGAGCCAACATCCAATATCAAACTAAATGGAGAGAAACTCAAAGCGATCCCACTGAAATCAGGAACAAGACAAGATTGTCCACTCTCTCCATATCCATTCAATATAGTTCTTGAGGTTTTAGCTGGAGCAATAAGATACCAAAAGGAGATTAAGGGTATACAAATCAGAAAAGAAGAAATAAAACTCTCACTATTTGCTGATGATATGATAGTTTACATAAGCAACCCCAAAAATTCTACCAAGGAACTGGATTGAAGCTTGCCAGTAAGCCACTGCCACGTGGCAATCCACAGATTAATGGAGATGGGTTAGTTTAGGATATAAGAGCTAGCTAAAAATATGCTTAAGCTGCTAGAAGAATTCCTATTGCCAGTAGCCTCTAAGTTACCCACCCACTTGGGCATGGCCTCCTATACTGTTTATGCTGAGGTAAAGCATGGGTCTGGCCTCTCTTTTCCAGCTGCGGCATTTGGTTGCTGTCCCCCATTCCAGCAGAGCTGACTTGTGAGTCTGCCAAAATAAATAACCCTATGTTATTCTCAGTTCTGAGCTGGTGTGGGATTTCCTTTAAGCATCCTTCTTCATTGGCGCCCCACATGGATTCAGACCCCACTCCTAACGGGTGGACGGCCTGAGGACCTAACCAGTCCACAGCCCAGAAAGTCTCCCAACCCTGCCCGCTTGGCTTGCTAATACCTAAGCGGTTTTTTTTGTAGAACCCCCACCACAGTGGTGCTAACTACATGCAGTGACCTGGAGATTTCCCAAGCACATGCATGCCCCCCTGCCCCCTCTGCTGCATTCCTTGCCACATGGCATCTCTTGTGCAGCTTCTGGTTTATGCTCCCTGCCTGTGAGTTCTGGGCTTCTTGTTCCATGTGTTGAATTGATTTAATTGCTTTTAATTTGTCAAGCAAAGCATATTTCTCAGGATTTAACCAGTACCAATGCAGGAAACTAAAGCGGCTCAGGACCATTCCTATCACCAATGGTTGCATCGCTGCTAGCCCTGACTCTGCAACCATGGTACCTGCTTGATTTCTTGGAAGCATCCTTCTTCATTAAGCTATTGGCCATACAGTATTACAAATAATAAAGTTTCTGTGTGATTATTTTGGGTCTGAGATGCCAGGAACAGACAAGCAGCCTCCCCCTAAAGATAACTATGTCCAAATTCCCAAATATTGTTTATAATTTTTTACATTTAAAGGGGGATATGCTATAGAGAAATACTTTACATTGGTATGGATCTTGCTTTACTGATAAAATTTAAGGTCAATTTTGTTTTATGTATATTTCTGCTTTTGATGTATTGTGTTTGTGGAGCTCATTTAAATATGTAATGTATGATTAAGAAATATAGGTTAATAGATAGTTATCTATAATATTTAATCTTGTAGCTATGTTAGTTAAGTTTTCTAGATATATAGAGATTATATTTCAGATGTATAGTTATTCTTCAAACCTTTCAAAGACTAACAGAATATGGCATTTAAAATGTTTTAAGCACTTAGATCATTTCATAACAATGAGGCACATCTGCTCCTGGGAGCACCAATCTATTTCAAGAAAAGGATGGACACCAAAGAGGCTCCTTATGGAGTTGGTTAGCAATTTGGACAAGAAACTACTCTTGTCTGGACTGCTTGATATGATGGTATATGAACTGGACATGCAGGATCCACAGAAAAATGACTGCTGAACTTGCCTAAAGAAGGTGAGACAGTCCTTCAGGGTTCCTGCTTCATGAAAGAGTGTGTGAGACATTCTGCAGGACAAAAAAGAAAGTGACTGACAAACTGCCAATAGAAGTGGAACTGACTTTCAAATTTCCTACTTCATGGAAAAGTCTGTACTATGGGCCTGTGGACTGAAGATGGATGCTGCAATGTTACAGAAGAACTTTGGGTGACTGTCCAGGCGGTGAGATGTCTCTGTCAATACTGGAGTTTTGGAATGCTTACAATGCATTTCCTGTTTACTTAGGTAATATTATATTTTTCTGGAGTCTTTGATGGAGTTTAAGAAAGATAGTTATAATTATAAAAGATAGATTAGATATAAAACTTTAGACTCATAACATAGGATAGATGATAAAGTATTTTCCTTAATTTGCCAAATGTAAATGGACTAAATATTGGAACTATAATTCTTGCTTGATAACTGTTTTGTTGTATGTAATCTTGTTATGTTAAAGTTAAATCCCTCTTTTTTATTTAGGCAGAAAAGGGGATGTGGGGATTCCCCTTTGCATGCTGTGAATGTTTTATTGCCATAGGTTAAAAAAGAAGCCTCTCTTGGTCAATGGCTTAACAGAGTAAAGCCAGGCAGAAAATTCTAACAGATGTAGAGAAAGAGTAGGCGGAGTCAAAGAGACACCATGTAGTCGCCTTCCTCCTAACCCTCCTACTTAAGCCTAGATTAATTATCTTTAATACAGTTTCCACTCCACTTCACTGTCCTGGGCAGTCTTGACGTTCTTCTCATAGCTGGAGAGAACAGAGTTAACACTGCTGAAGCTCCTGCTGAGAACACGAGTTCTATTCCGGGCTCCTGTACACACACACACACACACACACACACACACACACACACACGCACGCACGCACGCACCCACGCACGCACGCACGCACGCACGCACACATGCATCTTCCCACAGTCACCCCCTCCCCGCCGTTTCCAGCCTCTCTCCCTCACATCTCACCTCTCCGCTGCACGGTTATACTCTCCAAAATTCGGTAGTTGTATCTGCAGTACGTGTCCACCCCGGCCCTTGCGTCCTCCAGGAGCTCCTTCCGACTGTTCCAGTTCTCCGCCTCCAGCCGCCCCAGCTTGGTCACAGCAAGGTACTTGCCCACGTCACTGTCGAAGCGCACGTTTTCCTCTTGGTTGTAGAAGTATCTGTCCAAAAGCCACACGCGCTGTGTCCCATTGTAGAAATGACACTCGTGTTTAACTTGTGCCATGAACCAAGCTGTGGAGACAGGAATGATCTTCTTTTCTGGTGAAAAGACACCTGAATTTCTGAGTCCCTCTTCAGCTGCCACAGATGACCAGACCCAGGCTTGCCCCAGCCCACCTCTGACGTCACCACAACCCACAGGACGAAGGGTACATAGCCCTGCCCAAGTAATTGACAAGGGTGTAAACAAAGAGAGATGGAGGAACCCTGGGGAAAATTCCCCCATTCATAGAAGAAGCAGCACAATCCTCCCTTCATAGTCTCCTGCTTGCTCCCCCTCTCTCCCTCCCTTTCTCCCTTTCCTTCCTTCCTTCCTTCCTTCCTTCCTTCCTTCCTTCCTCTCTCCCTCCCTCCCTTCCTTGCTTCCTTCCTCCTTTTCTTTCTTTCTTCCCATCCTACAGCAGTTTCCCCTTCCTCCCCTCCTCCCAGTTCCTCCCCCTGCCCTCCTTATCTACTCCTCCAGTTTCTCTTCAGAAAAGGGCAGGATTCCATAAATGTCAACCAAACAGTGCAGATTGAGTTTATCACATCCAGACTTAACAGGAGAGGAGGTGCCCACACTTCTTTTTAGCCCTCATCTATGATCTCCTGGTCCCGAAAGGAAGCAGAGTTTGACTGCATGTTTTATCTCCCATGGTATTTTTTATTGTTAGTGAAAACAGACTTTATTAACACAATATTTTCTGATCACAGTTTTCCCTCCCTCAGCTCCCACAGATCTTCCCCACCTTTCCACCCACCCAAATCCGTAATCTTTTTTTCTTTCTCCCACGAGAAAGATCAGGCAACTAAGATGAAAGAAAAAATTAGGATAGGACAACACACACACATTCACACTCACAGAAATAAAATAAAAGCCACAAAATCTTAAACCTTAATATATGAGCAAACACCTGTATGGTAAGATAGAGAGGCGAGAGAGAGAGAGAGAGAGAGAGAGAGAGAGAGAGAGAGAGAGAGAGGGGGGAGAGAAAGAGAGAGAGAGAGAGAGAGAGAGAGAGAGAGAGAGAGAAGAATGTCATTGAGTTCACTTTGTGTTGAAACATCTACTGCTGGGCGGGCACAGAGCACAGGGCCTGCCCTTAAGTGTGAGTTATACAGCCAGTGAGACTCTTAGTTTTTGTGATTGTGATATAATTGTATCATTAACAACCCCCAGCCTTCCTACATACCCCTCCTTGCTCTCTTTGCCTCTTTTGTTATTAATGGTTACATACATACATGCATATACTTATACTTTCCTAAATACATGAACACACCCTTCTCATCTGCACAATGTTACTTGAATGTATGTTTTTAGGGCTGACCATCTGGGACTGGATAACCAGTTGGTGTGCTCCTCCCTGGTGAAGACCATTTCTCACACCCTCAGCATTCCACTGTTTCCATGGTTCTTGCCTAGGGCCACAGCCTCTGGGCTTCCCTGTCACACATGCTTGGTCAAGGCAAATGTCCCTGCTCAGTTAGGGCTGGTGCTGCTGCTGGTCCCATGGCTCCAGGGACAATGACCCATTTGGGAATAAACTCGAGAACAGAACAATCCTGTCACAGACCATGTAGGAAGGACTGGAGTTGGTGTCCCGAATCAGGTCACCTCTCCAAATATCAGCACCCAACAGATATATTTGGGTCAGTGGGGTCTGCCCCTCTCTGATCCCACAGCTGCCCCACCTGGAGCTAAGCTGGAAGCCAGCGCTCAGCAGCTCAGAAGACACCACTCCTTCCATTCCTCGTGCTCTTGATTCTCCCATAAGCACAGCAGAAAGAACGGGAAATCTCCCTCAGTGCTGACCTGTGCTGACCTGTGCTGACCTGTGCTGACCTGTGCTGACCTGTGCTGAACCGGGGGATCCACAGAGGGAAAACAGAGGCTGGCCCTCTGCTTTGGAGCTTAAATTGTGAGAGTGAGGAACAAATGGGAGAGGGGGTGAAGACTTGACTGACAGGAGGTGACATTGAAGATCTCTGGGGAGTGACATGGAAGATGTGTCACAGATGGAGCCAGAAGAAGAGGGTGGGACTGTCAGTGTCAGGGGAGGGGGAGGGGCGCATCTCGCTGCTAACACTGAGTTCATGAGTGGCAGGTGGGAGATGAGATTGTGGGGACCAAGAGGAACCCCAAAATCAGAAGCTGTGGGGTTGATGGAGCTTTGAAAACTATTGGAGAAGTTTCTGGAAATGAAAACCATGATCCCAACACTGACCCACAATCCATTATCTAAATTACAGACCCAGAGAATTCACAAACCAGATCTTTTAAAATCAGACGCCAAGTGTGACTCCAGGGACAGGTGGGGGTGTCAGTCAGTCACATATGCATCTGTAGTTTCAATAGGGATGGGGCAAGATGCATCAGATATATAGTTTTTTATTTTAATATTTAATCTAACTCAGACGATGTACAAGAGATTTGTTAATTTTAACTCAAATACATGTGAGCACCAGACATTACCGTCTACGCGAATGAACAGAAAGACGAAGAAGTTTGGAGCATTTAGTGGGACAATACCTGTGGCAGTCATCACTACTTAGGACTATGAGAGATTGCTGAGAGTTTCAGAGATGGAATTACTGATCTTTGTGTTTTGAGACATCACTGAGGATAGTCAGAGGAGACTGGGTTTGATTTATATTAAAAGACAAAATGGAGGAAAAAAACAACAGATTCGGAAGCCATACTAAATGTTAGTGTGAGGGGGCTGGAGAGGGTTTAGCAGTTAAGAGCACTGGCTGCTCTTGCAGAGGTCCTGAGTTCAAGCCCAGCATCACATGGTGGCTCACAATCGCCTTTAGTGGGATCTGATGCTTTCTGCTGGCCTAAAGTTATACATGCAGCTAGAGCACTCCTACATTAAATAAATACACCTTAAAAAGAAAAAAAGAACAGTTGGTGTGAAGGATGAAGGGGCATGGGCAGGAAACCTGGTCTCTGAAATGTGACAATGGGGTGAGACACAGCCTGGAAGCTTCTGTGTGTCATGTGATGCGTGAGATGATAGCACTTAGAGAGAGGAAGCGCACAGTGAGCAGCAGCCCCATTGCTCTACAGGGCCTTCCCTGCCAAGACCTTAACATCGCTATGGAAATCATCCTCACTGCCACATTTTCATCAGTTAAAGCACAGAGGGTGCAGATGGCTCAGCCATAGTCCCAGAATTTGGGTACTAACCCCATCTTTTCTATCCCATATGCAGACCCCAGACTTTCCCTAGATTTTCCAGTGTGTGGTGTAGATTTCGGTCGTGAAACCAGAAGACGATCACAAGATGCAAAGAGGAGTCAGGTCCTTTCCATGGGCTCAGAGTAGAGAATGTAGGAGAAAATGAAGTAGAGATAGATTCAAATCACAAACATCAAATGCGCTCTAATCTGCCCTGGGTTCTCAGAAGAGGCCTCACAGGCTTTGAAACAGCTCACACAGCCCAGCATCTCTAAGGCTGCCTTAGCTGCCCTGTGCTCCCAAGGAGAAAGGGAACTAACCCACTAGTCAGCAGGGTCCCCATGTGGAACAGGCTGCACAGACACTGGAGTCAGGGAGAGAGAAAGACAGAGCCCTGGGCTCAATCTCTCAGGTTCCCAGGCAGGGGCCCCATGGCTGCAGAGGATGCACACAGATTATCCCCCGGATGCCCGCCCTGTTCCCCTGACTCTGTGACATTTCCAGAGAAACCTTTGATTACTTTAATATTTGACCTTTTTTAATTTAAAAAATGAACAGAAACATAGTACAACATAGAATATAAATACACATATGAAGTTCTATTTTTAAAGAGAAACCTCTTTAGCTCAACACAATGAAGACAAGCCCTGTGCAGGGGTTAATTTAACCCCATGGTTTATCAATCCTCTCCAGACCCTGAGGACTATGACACAAGGCTGGAGATGCTCCAGGAAGAAACTTCAAAGCAATGACTGATACCTGGGGCCTCTCACACAGATCTGAGAGCACAGGCATCCACACTCCTCTTTGAGAAAACAGTTTGGATTTCATGTGAGGACTGTGGGAGGTCACAGAAAATATCAATAGATTTAAGGGGCTTGACCTGGACAGTGAGAAGTCGGCTTCTCACTTCCCCACCCCCAGCAGCTCAGCACCTGTGGTGTGCACTTACGTCGGGGGTCCCTGACCAAAGCCACGGGAGGACTCAGCACCATCAGTGTCAGGACCACAGCTGCCACCCAGGGGCCTCTGGGGAGCCACAGTTGCATCATGCTATATGAGAGACCGAGACAGGAGGAGCAGACAAGCTCACACAGTAGAAACTGTCACTTCTCTTTACCGTTGCCAGGATAGTAAGAACCAGGGGAGTCACTGCTCTGGTGCTGGACTGGATAAATTTAGGGTGAGGAGCCAATCAGCAGCAGAGGAAACCAGAATCATCAGTTGCTGGTTAGAGATTCAGTAAGAGGGTCCCCTTCTGAAACTTGCAATTCCCTCCATTAAAAGGTAGAGGAAGCGTGATGAGGGGAGGGATTGGGAACTGCGATTGATATGTAAAATGAGAAGAGTGGTTTTTGAAAACAACAAGCAAACAAGTAATTAAATAATTCAATAAAAAATAAATCAATAAAATAAATAAAAAATAAATCAATAAATCAATTAAAAAATGAAAAAAAAAAGATACTCAGCTTGACCTTGCAGCCCAAGCCTCCAACTCCAGCACATAGGAGGCAGAGGTAGTTGATTCTCTGAGTTAGAGGCCAGTCTGCTCTACTTTATAAAAGCCTCAAACCAATCAACAAACAAAAAATCAAACAAAAGCTAGCTTTTTGTGCATGGGGGAGGCAGGGTGTGGTTTGGATAGTAGTTCATTCCCTGCCCCCTGTTCTTGTGGATGTCCCCACATCCGTGTGCCTGTGGATTCAGTGAGTTGGTAATTTTTTGAAAAGTGAAAATGAAGTTGGAGGGTCTCAGGGGAAGCTGGAAGCAGGTGGGGTGATGGTGAATAGGATCTAAATACATTGTATACATGTGCAACTTTTTCAAAGGGTAACTGTTTCCAAAGTATCATTTTATTTGCTATTTTAAATGCTTGATTCAGTAGCAGCTGGAACATTAATCAGGCCACAGTGCTGAGTGACTTAAGATGATCTGTCATTCACTCACCAGTCTGAGCACTGGGAGCATTCACCTCTCCTACACATCTAAACAGGGCTGTGGTGCAATTCTGTGTTTGAAGTTTGTGGGAGTAAAGGAGGTAAAGTGATGTGGCATTCCCTTCTGTATATGTGTTGCTTTTATTGGTTAATGAATAAAGAAGCTGCTTGGGTCTATGATAGGGCAGATCAGAGCTTGGTGGGGAAAACTGAACAGAATGCTTGGAGGAAGAAGGCAGAGTCAGAGACAAGTCATGTAGCCTCCAGAGAAGAAAGATACCTGTGCACTGATACCGAAAACCACAAGCCTTGTGGTAAAATACAAAATAATAGCAATAGGTTAATTTTATTTGTAAGCGCTAGCTAGAAACACACAAGCTATTGGTCAAACAGTGTTGCAAATACTATATTTTCTGTGTGATTATTTAGGGTCTGGGTGGCCAGAAATGAACAAGCAGTCCCACCAACAAAATGGCTTGCCAGTGTGGTCTATAACCCATGATGCCCACCATCTACTTCAGATGCTTATGTACCCACACATGGTCAGGAGGAAAGTAGCCGAGACCATGCCTGCAGCAGGATTGGTTCTGCTAGGCATGTATACAGGCAGGAGAGCATGGCAGATTCCTGCTGCCATACACAGAGATATTTCCAGGCTTGACAATGTACTGCATGGCATATTTAGCTTTTACTCAAATAAAAAGAATTTATATGCTGCACAGTGCTACCCACAGTTGAGGTAGTGAAGATGGCACCCAGCCAGAAGTCCCAGAGCCAGCGGTGAACTACCTCCACCATATTAAAAGCCTGAGAGAGGCAAAACCAGCATCCAGGCCCACTGCACCCAAGCTGCTTACCATTTAAATGTGTTCCTCATCAGAAAATTATTACACACGTGCAATAAAGACAGATTCAGATGAAAAAGACCTTTAAATGGGTCACAGTGTTAAATAAATGTATGTAGTCTTGAGAGAGATAAGAAAAAGAGTAAAGAGACAGTAAAAGTAATAAAAAGAGTAGAGGCAGTCATAGATTAAAGGAGTAAAGATAATAAAATAAATATTAAACTTATAGAAAAAATAATACAGGAAAGAAAAATAGGCCATGTAAAGATGGAATATACACAGAGAGTCTGGAATATATACATATACATATATATATATATATATATATATATATATATATATATATATAATTGTGTCTTCTTTGAATTTTTTGACTGTGAATGACCTAAGTACAGAGAAACATTATATTGTACAGGTTGCTAAGCTAAATTAACATATGTATTTTAAAGGTATCCTGACTTCAAAATTTGGGTCTAAGGATTTGTCTCTTTGGAAAAGTGCTTCTTCTTTTGTCTCCACAAAAAGATAAGGTGAGACGATGAGAACTTCTGGAATCCTTGCAGACTAATGTGGTTTGATGAATCAAGACCACTTGTAAGGTCTCCGTAAACCCCTATAATTACTTCTCCCAACAAAAAGATAAAAGCAGTTTGGAAAGAACTACGCCCAAATTCCAATTATTGTTTATAAATATTTGTTTACATTTAAAGTGGGATATGGTATAAAGATGAATACTTTGCACTGGTATAGATCTTGGTTTATTGATATAAATTTAAGGTTGATTTTGTTATATGTATATGTCTGCTCTTGATTAGGGTATTGTGTTTGTGCAGCCCATTTAAAATGTAAAGTATAATTAAGAAATATAGGTAAATAGATAGTTATCTCTAATAGTCAAGCTTTTAGTCATGTTAGTTAGATTTTCTAGATATATAGAGATAGATTTTAGTTAGACAGATAATCTTCAATGCTTTCAAAGAACTAGAGAATATGGCATTTAAAATGTTTTAAGAACTTAGAACTTTCCACGACAATGAGACACATCTGCTCCTGGCAACACCAATCTACTTAATGAAGATGATGTGTGGCGTCATAGAGGCTCCTTACGGAGTTGGTTAGCCATTTGGACGAGAAACTGCTCTTGCCCAGACTATTTGATGTTATGCTGTATAAACTGGGCATGCAGGACCTACAAAAAAATGACTGCTGAACTTACCTAAAGAAGGAAAGACAATTCTTTGGGGTTCCTGCTTTATGAAAGAGTCTGTCAGAAATTCTGCAGAATACAGAAGAAAGTGAGTGACAAACTGCAACATAGACAAAACTGTCTTGGAAATTTCCTGCTTCATGGAAAGGTCTGTACCATGGGCCTGTAGGCTGAAGATGGATGCCTAGAAGGATGTTACAAAAGATCTTTGGGTGCCTTCCAGGCAGCTAATTGTCTCTGTCAGTTCTAGAGGTTTGGAAGTTGCTTACAATGTACCTCCTGTTCTCTTAGGCAATATTATGTCTTTCTGGGGTCTTTGATGGAGGTGAAGAATAGATAGTTATAGTTTTTCTTAGTTATGATAAAAATATATACAAATATTATAACTGTAATTCTTGCTTGTTACCTGTTCTGTTATATGTAATTTTACTATATTAAAGTTAAAACCTTCCTTTCATTTAGATAGAAAAGGGGAGGTGATGTGGGATTCCCTTCTGTATTATGTGTTGCTTTTTATTGGTTAATGAATAAAGAAGTTTCTTGGGTCTATAATAGGGCAGAACAGAGCTAAGTGGGGAAAAATAAACTGAATGCTGGGAGGAAGAAGGTGGAGTCAGAGAGAATCCGTGTAGCCGCCAGAGGAGATGCCTGTGCACTGGTACTGGTAAGCCACGAGCCTGGTGATAAAATGCAAAATAATAGATGTGGGTTAATTTAGATATCAGAGGTAGCTAGAAATATGCTTAAGCCAGTATATCAAACACTATAGTTTTTGTGTGATATTTTGGGTTTGGGCGGCCAGGAAGAACAAGCAGTCTCTGCCAACAGTGAAGGAAGATGACTGTGAGCCAGGCACCTTTAAACTGTACTTACTGCAGCGTGGCATAGTGATGTAAATGTGAAGTGATTTAAGTGCATACACTGCAGCTGAAATCGCCACGTTCTCTCACGTTTTCTTGAGCTGGAGAAGGCCGTGGTGTATGGACATCTCCGGGAGCAGCTTTCCCCACTTACTGATGATGTGGCAAAACCCAGGCTCTTGATTGGACAGTGGAATCTGCACTTCAGTTAGGGAAATCTCTGAGAAGTTAAAGGAAACTGAAGGTGAGTCATGGTGTAGTCCTGACAAGAGGGGCTTTTCCAGCACAACCCCTGAGCTGTTGTTGAATTCAATGGAGCCTCCAGAAGCTCAGGCAAGGGTCCCTGTGGTTACCCACAGCCCAGTCCTAAAGACACTCAATGCAGAGCCAGGGCACCCTGGGGGAAGCGAGTGGGATTCTGCCAGGTTTCAACTGAAATCCTGAGAGCAAGAATCTGGAGAGTGTGAAGTGCGCAGCAGAGCTGGATCCTGGCTGAAGACTTCTCTGACTTGGTGTGCAGCCCTGGGAGATGTGTTCATCTCTGCAGGTGACAACGGAGATGATGTTCCTCTTTTTGATGTCATTGACACAACTTATCTGGTTCTTTATCTTTAGCATAGCACACTGAGGCTAGATCTAGAATTCCTGTGGGTGCTCGGGGAGGGAGGGGGAATTCTCACAGCTGTGAAGATTAATAGAATAGCAGGAAGAGTTTAGGTTTCCTTTCCCATCTAGATCTCTCGTCAGCTGTGCCATGACAAATCATTGACCTCTTTAGAGTTCAGAGCTCACACTGGGCAGATTAAAGTACTCAGGGTTGGGCTTATGACCTCATGCATGCCGGGCAAGAGCCTGTCATGGAGTTCCAGCCCCAGACCTCTCTTTACTTTGAGACATTATTCACTAAGTTGCCCAGGTTATCCTTGAACTTGTGACCTTCCTGCCTTAACCTCTTTACTAGTTGAGACCACAGATTTATGCCAAAAGGACCAGGTAGAAGATGATTACTGTTTTATGTTTTTATTACATGTCTTTGTCTATCATGTGTTTATGTGAGTGTCTCTCACATGGCACAGCACGCCTGCCACAGCGTGCATGTGGTGTCAAAGCACAACTTTAGGCTGACTTTTCTCCTTGAGGGTGTTAGGGCTGTAACTCAGCTCCTTAGGATTGGTAGCAAACACCTCACCTGCTGAGCCACCACAGTAGCCATTGGGTATAAATGGAGGCTTTTCTCTGTCTTGCTCAGTCCTACTGAACTAGCTTCTCCCTGGTTACAATTGTTTGGCCAACGG